TTCCACCATCAACTGTTGCCCCTCTGCCACGTGTCACTCTGCCTTGGAGCCAGGCGATTATGGACTGAACCCTCCACGAACTGTGAGCTAAATAAACCTTTCCCCTTTTAACTTTGGGTGTCTGGTATTTTGTCTCAGCAATGAGAAAGTAACTAAGACAGGTGGCCTCTTTTGTCTCCTGTGTCTCAGCACTTTTGGGGTCAACAGATGCTCAGGGAATGCTCGCAGAGAATGAGCCATCCCCAGGTCAGTTCCAGGCGGACTTGGCCTACCTCAGTCCGCTCCTCCAAGGTTCCTGGTTGCTCCCCCTCCCCTCCCAGCACCAGTGGGCACAGATACCCTAGTGGGGGCACAGCACACTTTGCTGGGGCTTTCTGGCACCTACTTAAGATATTATCTTGGCTTTGTGCATGCTGATGGGGGCTGGGCCCCCAGCCCAACCTTGTGGGGAAGACACTGATTTTCCCACAGCTTGGCCAGCCCGGGACAGTGCTCGGAGACACAGGCTAGGCAAGGGGTGCCACCCAGGCTTCCCTGAGAGAGGGAGGTAGGGAGAAATGGGTAAGTCCTTCTCTCTTCCTGCCCATCTTGTATCCTTCTCCACTACCTCAGCTAGTGCCCAGGTGCACTCAAAGCCTTTCACAGAGTGCCCCCAAGTGGCCTTTCTGGGAATCACATCCATTCAACAGTAACCATTCTTGGCTGCTGATTCCTGCTAAGTTGCTACTGTGAGCATGGTGTCATCATTGCCACGTTAATGATAATGTTTTTTTTGTTTTGTTTTGTTTTTGTCTTTTTGAGACAGGGTCTCGCTATGCAGTTCAGACTGGCCTTGAGCTCACTTTGTAGCCCAGGCTGGTCTCGAACTCAACGATCCTCCTGCCTCAGCCTCCTGAGTGCTGGGATTACAGGCATGCGCCACCATGCCCGGCGATAATTTTTTTTTTTTTTTTCCGGTATCAGGAATTGAACTCACGACTTCACTTGTGCCAGGAAGGCGCTGTGCCACTGAGCTAAATCCCCAGCCATGTTAGTGATAAAAACAGAGGCTCAAAGAGATGGATGGCTTGTCCCAACTCAGTGACAGAGCCATTTTAAAAAAAATCTGTCTCTTCTGCAACGACGGAGCTAAATCTCAAGAGTTGAAAGGGCATGTAGGTCTCACTGTTGGTCTGATGCATAAACCAGCTGTCATCTGCTCCCACGCAGGTAATCGGTCTCTGCCTCAACCCTTCCAGCAATGGTGAGATCACCCTTATACAGCACCCGCAGGAATGCTACCTGGGATGGGGCTGGTGGTGCGGTAGGGAGGGCAGGCCTGGGCTGGGGATGCTGCCCCTCCAGGGAGGTGAACAGGCCCAGAGAAGTGACACAGGGGCTCCTCTCACAGGGATGGTCCTTGGGAGCACACACTTCAGGTTGAAGGTAGACATGGGGCAGTGACTCTGGCACTGCTGCCCCTTCCCTAACTAGGTATTGTAATTTATACCCAAGTGAGCACAGGCCTCTGGCCCCTGGTGTGCAATAAAACCAAAAGTAAAACCCCTGGCAGGGAGTGCTGTGCTGGGCCTGTGTGAGCAGGCAGTGACTGCCCACTCACTATGTACCAGGTCCTGTCCTTGCACTTTTCCTTTGAAGACCAGGTTTGTGTACTCAGGCTGGCCTTGAATTATGTAGCCCAAGAGGGCTCTAAACTCACAGTGATCCTCCTGCCTCAGCTTTTTGAGTAATAGGTTGTGCGCCCCCATGCCTGGCTATATGGTAAGGAGGATATTTCACCCTCCATGATTCTGAAAGGAAGAAACAGTATCTCTACAGAAGAGGACACTTGGATCCAAGATTAAGTACTGAGCAGGGGAAGCAGGATTTAACCAAGGGACTCCAGGCTTCTGGCCTGCATCCCCCACCAACTGGCATTTGCTATGATGCTTCAAGACTCTGGGGCCCAGTGACTTCAACTTTGCTTCAGAGACCAGTGATGGTGCAGGTGGTGTCCTGGCCCTTGGGCCTCTGCTCCCAGCTCATCACTTCCCTTGGGTCTTCACTGCAGGTGGTACCACTGAGCTCTGCAACCCCAAATCCCTCAATCATGATGCAAGAAGCTGCTTATTAAATGGTACTTGGCCCAGGGATGAGCAGCTCTCCCTCTCGCCACAAACACAACCCACCTGGAGGAGATAGCACCTTTTCACCTATCTCATTTTCTTTTTTCCAGTGCTAGGGATTGAACTCAGGGCCTTTGTGCCAAGCCACATCCCCATCCCTTTTAAATTTTTTTGAGACAGGGTCTAAGTTGCCCAGCTGGGCTTGGCTCAAACTTCTCCTGCCTCAGCCTCCCAGAGTATGGGCATTACAGGTGTGTGCACCACCATGCCTAGTCCAACTACCTTGCTTCTATTTTTTGTTTTTCTTCCAGTACCAGGAATCAAACTCACGACCTTGCACTTGCCAGGCAGGTGCTTCACCACTGAGCTAAATCCCCAGCCCCTTTTTTGGTCTTTTTGAGACAGGGTCTCGTTATGCAGTTCAGGCTGGCCTTGAACTCACTTTGTAGCCCAGGATGGTTTCAAACTCACAGTGATCCTCCCGCCTCAGCCTCCTGAGTGCTGGGATTACAAGCGTGTGCCACCACGCCCAGCTACCTTGCTTCTAATCTCAACTAATTTCCATCGCAGCAGTATTTTTTTTCCTTTTCTATACTAATAAAAGTCAAGGCTGGGGATTTAGCTCAGTGGTGCAGCACCTGCCTGGCAAGCGTGAGGTCCTGAGTTTGATTTCCAGTGCCCCCCCACCAAAAAAAGTAAAGACAATTCTGTCCATTTTGTTTTATTTGTTAAATTGCTAAAAAGTCATCAGGGGAAAACATTAACAAAAAATGAATTGACAGATTTAAATATTCATGAAATCCATTTTCATTCCTACACTGTTATGTGCCTAAAATGACTACTGTCTCAGGGTAAGCCACCTGGCACCCCCGAACTGTATGGGAAACATCACTCACAGCACCAGCTTTGCCAGGGCACGATGGGTGTGCACTGACATGAACCCTGGTTGGTGGGGGGGAGCAGAGCAGGTAGAGTTCAGTGGAGCCCACACCTAAGGTTTGCTCTCACTCACAATGAACTCAGGGGAGGAAGCCGCTCAGAACGGGCCTTCTACAGTGCTGGCAGGCGGCTGAGCCTGGGCTCACTGCCCTGGGCGTCTTCAGATCCTCTCCACTGACAGCTATGCTGGCGCAAGACCACAGATAACGTAAAGCAGAGCACATCACCATGCCAGGATCACCAGGAAGACAAGGACGGACATGGACCAACCAGGTGTATTACTCTGAAGGGGAAAGGAAAAAGCGAAGCAGAGGAAACCCAGAGAGACATGGTGAAGGAAAGGGAAAGATCCCCTTGTTCTGTCGGCCAGTGGCTTTCTATCCTCCAAAGTCAGGACTTCTTACACTCGTTTTCTTTCTTCCTCCTCCTCTTCTTTATTATAAAACGTTCCAACATAGTTCCTAAACAGCTTATGGTTTCAGCTCTTGCTATAAACGCAAATGTTAAAATCAAATCAACCCACAGAAGGCTAGGAGTCGTCTCATATTGCCTTAAAAACAAAATTTAAGCTTGTTCTGACACCGAATGGCGCTCCCAGAATGGGGGGGAGGGTGGGGTTATGGAGCCCAGCACCCCAGTGTCGGGGAAGGATGAGAATGAGAACAAAAATACAGGGTGCTCTCTGCTGCATAACATGAAATGAGCGAACAGGAAGCTCTGTCCAAGAGGGTAGAAGAGACTAAAAATCCTTACATGAGGTCAGCACGGTGACCGGTGAAGTCAGTATGACCTGGGGGGCTCTCAAAGGCACACTTGTAGGAATGGAGGGGTTAAAGCTTCAAGTAGAAACAAGATGTGTTTTAAATACTTAAATACTGATAAATATTTCCTTTAGGTGCTCCTGAGGGTTTAAAAAAAAATATTTTGTCTCATTTCTCTCAGTGAACTTTAAGACAAAATTGGTATCACCTCAAAAACACAGTTGTGGTTCCATCCGCTGTGATGGCGCTGACACCCACTGCAGGTGGCCTCCCAAGCGCCTGACGAGACAGTCACCTGTGTTGGGTCACTTCCCCATGGTCCACACCTGCAGTGCCCAGGAGTTCAGACCCACAGCACTGGGTACGGATGAGGCAGGTTTTTCTTAGAGGGCTGTAAACGGACAGTCTGGTTCCCAGCGGTGCGGGTAATACTGGGTGCACGGAGTTCAGAGGAACCGGATTACTTTCTAAGAGAATCAACATTTCTGCTGCTTGCCTACTTGGGAAAGCGGAGGAATCAACAGGTGAACAGCTGGCTTAGGAAGGCCACAGGACAAAGGGAAAGATTACAGAGTAGAGATTCTGAACGTTCAGGCTTCCAAACACTTTATACGTCTGTGGGAACTGAGTTTGGAGGCACTGTCCATGCACAAATACAAGGTCACAGACCAGGTTCAGCAGCAGCAATGGCGCCAAACCTTCTAGGCTGCGAATTCTCTAGGCTGGCTTTGCCTTGTAAATCAGGACCCCACATGATTGAACAGTCTCGGCCAAGGAAGGATTGGCATCAGTGCAGAGCAGGGGGTTTAGAAAGCCCTGTGCACGCCTCTGGAGCAGTGTGGCACCAGAGGAAGTAGGTACGCAGTCCGTTCTTCCTCTGAGGGAGCAGCAGAGCAGCTTCGGGAACGCGCACCCGCTCTATGAGCTGGCCCTTTCCTGGGCTTGGCACCAGAGGGCTTTCTCACCAAGACCACACTGGTAAAGCTGACAGTGAGGGGCAGGATTCAGCATGATGTAACAGGAGAAAACACACTTAATCAGAAAGACTGCAAGATGCTGGCTGGGGGCCAGGACCCATGGCCAGTGGTGGGCGGCTTGTGCCTGGGAAATGCTAAAGGGAAAAAGGGAGTGTGGGGGTGGGAAATATATTTTGAAATTTGAATCTTAAAGATAAAATAAAAAATCTATCCACTGATGAGAAATCACCAAAACCCTGTATTTAAATGGTCCCATTTGAAATAAACTCGTTTGACATTTCCCATGTCGCGGCCACGCTTTGAAGACTAGGCAACTTCTAACTTTCTGTATTAATCAAAGAAATGTTCTTACTTGGTTGTACCTTTGTTTGGGTGACACATGAACTTCAAGGCAAGCGTAAATAAAGTGATGAAGCTGCTCCTCAGGGCAGCCAGTGTCACGAAGGTCAAGTACATGATATGCAATCCAGTCACCGGCCAACAGCCAGGCACAAGAACACATGTTGAAGGGAACAAACTCCTCCCGGCTCTTAGAAGGAACTGTTATTAGGATTCTTTCCAGGACCAATTTCCATGTTCTACAAATATGGATGAGCATGCCCAGTGTGCTCTGGAACTAAAAAGAAGTCCACAGGGAAAAAGTGCCTTTCAATGCTTCAAAGATCTTTCACAATACTAGCATCTTAGAATTCCCTACTTGCCCCCCAGTGATACCAGGGAAAGTGTTCTGGAACTACGTCTAAGAAGCATGATTTCTCTAGGAATCTGAGCTCTGTGAAAAAAACAAAGTAAGAAAGCTTTAGGGCTTAGGAAATCCACAAGAAAAAAGGTGTGTGTGTGGTGGAGAGCAGCCTTTACATGGAAAATGTAGCCACTGGGGACAAAAATTCTAAAATAAGGAAAAGGAGAACAAATATAGGTTTTGGGAACTTGCAACCGAACATGATTGTCAGGAAATTCCATAATCAAATAGCAAATGTTTTCTGAGACATGTAGGGAGCACTCAAACGACTAACGGGCAGGAGGCGGACAGATGTCGGCTGCGTGGGCACCCCTCGATGATCCTGGCACACCTGGAAAAAGAAATCCCTTGCTGGGTGACTTCCCTGGGTCACAGAGGGCAGAAGGGGACAGGGCGGGCACAGGCCCTCTGCAGTTTCCTTCTGAGTCTCTTCCCCGCCAGCACCTGCAGAAGTGGGGGCTGCGCCGAAAGCTCCTTTGCGTCTTATTCGTGCCCTTCCCATTCTCTGATTCTGAGAAGGCCACATAAAGAGAGATGTACAGGGGCTCTTCGGTTTCTACTGGAAACATAGTGACTCTTAGTCTAGTTATCAGCAAAGTAGAAAAAGGCAGCACAGCCTCTGCTAAAACACAGCAACAGTTTTATCTGAACTAGGACGGAGATCTCTCCCTTTTGTAAACAGAGTTGGTTATATAATATATGTTTTATATATAATTTTTTTCTTAATGAAGATTTGATCCCAGCCTGGAGTGAGTTAGACTGGGCACTGGAGTTTTGGTTTATGGGAATAATGTTAACTGTTTTCCCAATTCTTAGTCCAAAAGCTTGCACACTGGGAAATTCCAAATTAAAAGCTACAGAAAGGGAAAGGGGGTCCGGACACATTATCTCTTTGCACGCACGAAGTACAAGGCGTTTGTTTTTGGATAGTACTTCACATTCTGCTTCTTGTCCATGAGTCCTCCGAATATAATGAGCTCACCTCTGCCTTGGACCACTGTGTGCAGGCTGGTTTCAGGAGGCCCCACCACAGAGGCGCTGCTGAATACTTTCCACTTGACCCGCCCCTTCTCCTTGGTGTCTTTAATGTCCAGCACGTACATCTGCATGGGCTTGCAGTTCATACTCTGGTACAAGGGCTTGCCGACATTGAGGGACTGTGGCGGGTGGTGGCCCAGGCGGCGGGCAATGGGAGGTAAGGAATGTCCATCTCCTTGGCCAGGTCCTGTGGGGCCTGGGCGGGGGATGGGTACTGTTTCTCCACTGCTCAGGCTCTGGCTCCCAGGGGAGCCTGGAGAAGACCCAAGAGGAGGACTCAGTGCTGCAGAGGCCGAGGGGCCCTTGGAAGATATTGCTTTGATGGCCTCCAGACTCCGGCGCAGGGCACTGGGTGAGACAGCCCCCACAAGGGCACTGGCCACGTGTGGAGGGGTATGCACGCCATTGGTCTGTTCTGGAGGGTGTCTCGCACTCCCCCCAGCTGTCCTGTTGTCCACGCCATCCACGTGATTGCTACCAGAAGCAGGTTTCAGGTCCCAACTCACATCAATGGAGCCTAGTCTCAGATCTTTCTGATCTGGCAGCGACCCTCGTCGAGGGGCTAAAGCAAGTCCCCCTTTCAGGTCATACCCTTCAGCGGCAGAAGGAGTGCTTGGAGATAGGGCCTGCACAGGACTGTCCAGGGAAGAGCCACCGACAGCTGCTGTTCCTGGAGATAAACTCCCACCATTGAGAACAGGAGAGCCATCTCCTCTGGCCGGGGATAGGCTCCCTTCCCGGGAACCTGAGGGAGTCTGCCTTTGAGCCCTGGGCCTCAGTGTTCCCCAGCGGCCGTTCACACAAGGAGCTTCATCCATACTCCTCACCGGAGACTGCGAGCGGTACTCTCGGGTTTCAGGGACCAGGGCTGGAGGAGTGGCACTGATAGGTGATGGGCGAGAGTTCAAACTGGGGCTGAGGGGCGCTCTCCCGCTGGGAGCCTGGCTGAAGACCACCACACACTGTCCCACCTGGAAGACAAAGGGCCTGTGCTCACAGCCTCTTCTACAAATCAAACATTTAGGCATAAGTGGTCTGATGTGCCAGGCGTTTTGTCTGTTTTTTTTTCTTTGTTTTTTTCAGTGGTACTAGGGATTACACTCAGGGCCTAGTGAACACTAGACAAGAGATCTGCTACTGAGGTACACGTCCAGCACTTATTTTATTTCGAGGCAGATTCTTGCTACACTGCCCAGGCTGACCTCAAACTCACAGTCCTCCTGCCTCAGCTTCTCTGACAGCTGAGATAACAAGCATGCACCAAATCTATGCCCGGCTAATGTGCCAGGCATTTTGTAGACCTGAGATACAGAGATGAACTATATGGAGATAAAAATAATGTAGTCTGTTGTGTAGGCTAGAAGGACATACAGATATGGAACACCTGTTGCTTTTGTCACTAGCTGTGTCTACAGAATAGTGGTACAATAGAGGAAGAAATCAATTTTTTTTTTCTTTTTTTGTTTTTTTTCTGGTACCAGGAATCGAACTCATGACCTTGTGCTTGCCAGGCAGGTGCTGTGCCGCTGAGCTAAATCCCCAGCCCCAGAAATCAGTTTTTTTCTGGGGGAAATTTCATAGACAAAGATGTTTAAAGTTGGGACTTAAAAGGTGAGTGGGGAACCTAGTGATTTTTACCTAGTGGCTCATATATATAGGGAATGATGAAGGAGCTATACTCAATGTCCACCTCTTTTGTGGCACCAAAGTGTTTTCTATTTTGGGGTTTTTTTTGGTACCAGGAATCTGAACTCAGGACCTTGCGCTTGCCAGGCAGGCACTGTGCCACTGAGCTACATCGCTGGTCCAGTGTTTTCTATTTCTGTACAAATTTCCTTTGAAATCTGATAGACTGATTTGGTTCTCCAGTGGAGGACGTCTCCTCATGCCGGCCCGTCAGCTCTCTGCTTACCCGGCAGGCTGGATGGCACCACAGCTCTGGAGCCCCATGATCTTCATTTTCTACCTTGAGTGGCTGCCAGGCCCAGGGACCCGAGTGCATGTGCAACAACCAAGCATCCTTGAAAAGCTGTAAGAAAAGGATCAACAACAGGACTCAGGTGCAGTACACACTGCACCGCACACAGAGAGCTGCAGTCTCAGAGCGGGCTGTCTGGTCTAAAAAGCACGAACGCTGTCAGAGAGAAGAGCCAGGTCCTCAGTTACGTGCTCATACTCAGCTGTGCATGCATCCACTCATGCTTGCATCCACACACATGCGACCGCTGGCCGTCCTGGCACATAGATTGTGTTCGTCATCCATCAATCAACTGTAACTGATTTGACCTATGGTTGTGTGTGTGTGTGTGTGTGTGTGTGTGTGCACGCGCGCGCGCGCGCGCGCTCGCGTTGGGGGCAGAGGAGAGGATAATAACATATCAAAACTGTCTGAAACTGCAATCTTTTTTTTTGTATTTTGAGAAAAGGTCTTGCTCTGTAGCTCAGGCCTGGAATTCACAGTGACCCTTCTGCCTCAGCTTCCCAAGTGCTAGGATGTCAGGCATGTGCTACTACTTGTAAATGAATTCCAGGTGGACTTGGGCAGTTACCTACCTGTTTTTCTATTGACTGCCCTTTTGAAAAAAAGCACAGTAGTAAACCTTGAAGTTCAAAGAAGAGACAGGAAGAGGAAAAATATGAATACTCAAGAGACAAAATATGAATATAAAAATATAAATATTCAAGAGACAAATGTCTGATTAATAGCATGTCATAATCTCGAGGGGAGGCAGAAAACAGAAAGGCTATATGCCCATGGCAGACAAGGCATTTTCTAATGAAAATGCTGTAGAAAAGAGTCTCGTGTACTTTTCCATGCAAAGCCAGAGAAGCAGGTTTGAATGCTTAGAAGCACGTGCATAGAAATGCCACACAAGCAATACTCACAGCGTTGGGACCGCCACACCCTCCAAGGATTAAGATAGTCGCACTGTCTATGACAATCTGGGAAGGGAAGAAATTTAAAGTAAACCTACAATGACATAAGTAAGTGACTTCCTGTGTTTGTGACATACAAATAGCATACCCAGCTCCCAAATGGAGTGTTTCAGTTATCTTAAGCTCTCTATTCTCCCCAAACCCTGTCAATTCGGATTCCCCAGGCCCTTGAACAAATTACTGGTAATTCCCAAGTGGATACGTTCTTTGTTGTTCGAATATTAACATGAAAGTCAGCCACATAAAATCCAAGCTTCACTTGAGAAATGAAAAAGCAAAGTAAATACTTTGAGGAGAAGTATAATATAAAGGTACTATAAATACTATGACCATTGGAAGCTGAAAACTAAATACCAGCAAAAAAAAGAATGACAAATTCTCTTTGGCTTAGTGCCTACTGGCATCTTACCTGACTCCCTCCTCCCTCTCCTGTTCTAACTGAAAGATGCTACAGTGTTTGGAGAATAGTTATTTTAATTCCTGAGCACCTGAGATTGACCACCTCGAGGATGAGGACTGGGGCCGGTGATGTTCGGCTTGGACCATGCCCACTGCTCGAGATCAAGGACCCAGACATCATTGCTCCTGTTTGAGATAAGGACAGAAGGATGAGGATGCTGGGAGAGTCCAGGGACCACAGTGGTGGCCAGAAGCTCCATATGACTGGGCCCCTCTGGCAAATCTGCACCTTTTTTGCACTCACAAAGATGGTCAGAAATGGACTCCCCAAGGGCTAGGGATTTAGCTCAATGGCACAACTGCCTGCCAGGCAAGCACAAGGCCCTGAGTTCAATTGCCAGTATCAAAAAGAAAAAAAAGAGAAATGGACTCCCTAGAGTTCAGGGCCTTCAAAACCAGATAGATCATTGCTGAAATCCTAGCTATGCAGCCTGAACAAGAAACTTAATTTTCTATAATTTTGTTTCCATGTCTATTGAGTACAAGCACTGTTACTCTGAAAAGCTGACATAAATGAAGTTACATTTATAAATATGTCCAGCAAAGTGCCAGGCCCACAGCTAGCACTTAAAACTTTAATTTTCTTCCTTGACTGTCCCTAGAACTTATCTTGAGACTTTCAAACCTTGTTCTTTCCACTGACCGTAAGGCCTTATGTGAATCATATTGGTGTCCACACAATGGTAGGTAAAGTACAAATTCCTTGGGGATAGCAAGAAATAGCTATTGGTCAAGCTGTATATCTTGGGGTTGGGGAGGACTCAGGATTGAACCAAGGGTCTTTGCACTGAGTTACATTCGCAGGCTTTTAAATTCTGAGACAGGGTCTAGCTAAATTGCATAGTTGCCCTAGCTAGGATCAAACTTGTGATTTTCCTGCCTCAGCCTCCCAGAATGCTGGAATTGCAGGTGTCTACCACCATATCTGGCCGTATGTAGTTTTTTTTTTTGTTTTGTTTTCTTGAGACAGGCTCTTGCTATATAGTCTAGGCCAGCCTCAAACTCCTGGCCATCTTCCTGCCTCAGCCTTCCAAGGGCATTCCCCATATTCTACCTGTCTTTTAAAAATAAAAACCAAACTAGTACGGTGGTGCATGCCTGTAATCCCAGCACTTGGGAGGCTGAGGCAGGAGGATCGGTGTGAGTTCAAGGCTTGGCTGGGCTACATAGTGAGTTTAAGACCAACCTGAACTACATAGCAAGACCTTGTCTCAGAAAAAACAAGAAATAGTAAATAAATAAAATAAAAAATAAAAACCAAAAGGAAGAGAAAAAAAAGATTCAAAAGGTAGCTGGTATGCTATCTTATCAGGTCAAGGAGTTAAAAGCTTTATTGATCTTGGCTACAAAAAGAAATTCATGATGCTAATGAAAGCTGCAGTTTGATCAAGGACAAGCCGGCATTTCCAACTCTCAAGAACCCAGTACAAGGAGGACAGACTCCTGGATAGCAGTCTCTACTTTATGGTCACTTCTCTGAGGCCCTCTCTTCACATACAGGGATTCCAAAGTTAAACTGTTCTTAACTGGAGGGCAGCTCCTTACTGCTGACAGCCCATCAACTTCCATTTCAGAGCCCAGGGGAAAGGACCACTGCTGGGGCTATGGCTGAACTGGATGAACGGCGACCCAGATGGACTCTCTGGCTCTTGCCTCTGGGCTGAGTTGGCCAGTGACTCTCAGAGGTGGAAAGGATAGGGTGGGGAGAACAGCCTCACAGAAGTGCATCACACCTGACAGTTTTCTCGTGTCCATCCATCCCCCGAGCCTATCCTATCTGGAGAGCCCACAACTACCTTCTGTCCTGCCCACCACTCTCCTTGTCTACAGCCCCTATGGGCCTAAGCTGGGTAATAAATCAAGTAAAAACGCCCTGCTTCTGGAAGGTGGCCTTCTGCAGGCACAGTACAGCAGACAAGGTGGAGGCTCCATCAGAATTTGATCCCAGTGAAATAGCAAACAGAACGACATTCAACATGACCTAGATTTTATGTAGCAAATTTTCCAACTTAACTGGAAAGGGTGTATGATTAAGGGACCAAAGGACAGGATGCTAGGCGAGATAACAAATTGGATTCACTAGAACCATGCTCAGGAGTACTGGCCCTGACTAGCTCACTTTTTCTTTTTCTGCAGTACTGGGGATGGAACCCAGGTTCTCACATGGTAGGCAAGCACTGCCCACTGAGCTCCAGCTCCAGCCCCTAGTTCATTCTTCTGACCTGTTATTCCCAGGAGTATTTATCTTCAGGTTAATATGGGGCAAACCAGGTATACTTACATTTGCCGGGATCCTAAAGAACCACCAAAGACAATCATTTTATCATCTATCACACAGGAGGAGTGGCCGGCCATGGGAGGTGGCCCATGGGTTGTTACAATGCAATTCCACCTAATGAAAACAGGGGAAAACCAAGAAGTCAGCACCATGTGCTTCTGACTGCATGGGTTTAAAGCAAAGAACAACTCCATTTACAATAATAATCACATCACCTTGAGCAAAGATATTATTAGGATAGTATAGGGAGGACAAAACATGGTATGGTGTTGCATGCTGGTAATCCTAGCACTCTGGGAAATTGATGCAGGAGGATTACAAGTTAGAACCCAGCCCGGGCAACTTAGTGAGATCCTGTCTCAAAAAATGGCCTGGAGATGTAACTCAGTATGAAGGCACTGGATTCAATCCCCAGTACCAAAAAGGGAGTTGGTGTTGATGCAAATATTTATGCCTTTCCTACAAACTTTCTTACTTATATCCATTGACTTTCCAGTCCAGAGTGTGGATGGTCTGGGGAGAGAGGGATGAGAAGACAAGACTGGTTCAGTCTGGTGTGCTGAAGGAGTACCACCACTACTTCTCCCTGTGGTGCTATCGGTAGCAGCTGCCAAGAACCACACACTAGTATTTCACTACAGGGAGCAGTTGTTGTCACTTAAAAAGACAGTCTGAAGAAAGAGTACAAAGAATCACCTGGATCTATATCACTTCTGGGGAATTACCAGCCGAAGCCGAAGGGCTCTCTTTTCTCTAACTAGTACATTCATTTTTCTTGAATATTTCTTTTTCTTTTCATGTTTTTTTGCAAAGGGGCCTTGCTATGCATCCCAGGCTGGCCTTGAACTTGAAACAATCCCCCTGCCTTAGCCTCCCAAGTGCTGAGATTACAGGCATGTACTACCATGCCTGGCTGAAAAAAGGGTTCTGAACTTATGGTCCTAAGTGGGCCCTGCAAACCTTCTGAAACTACAGACAAAAGCTGGATATAATATTCTCCTCCACCCCTGGGGGAAGAGTTCTTAGTTTTTCACCAAATTCTCCAATAGATTCTTGACACTAAAGAGAGACGTTAAAAACCAAGCATGGTTGAGGTGGAAGGACAGGAAAGTTCAAGGCCAAGGTCAGCCTGGACTACATAGCAAGACCTTATTTCAACAAAGAGAACTAGGAATCCCATGTGGTAACTGGTTCTGTGCCTCGGTTTCCCCATCTGTCAGGCTTGGGTTTTTTTGGGTACCAAGAATTCAACTCAGGACCTTGCATTTGTCAGCGAGGCACTGTGCCACTGAGCTATCTCCCCAGCCCTTAGGAATCCAATGCTTTAAAATGTTTTCTTCCACATTTAAAGAAGCTTATTTTTGTACCTTACCAGTTTTTAGAGGGTGAGTAAGTGTGTATTTCATCAAAGAATCTCTCTGGTTGGTGCAGAGGATAAGGGCTTGGTCGTGTCCAGCCACCAAAGAGCACTAGCAAGTCCTTGTATACAACCAGAGTTGCTCCAGCTTTGGGGGAAGGGTAAGAGCCTAGGAGAAATCAATAACACCATGATTAGAATTCAGGGGTCTCACAACAACCCATTGCAGCTAGCCACAGATCACCTTTCCCTGTGAGAACAAGGTGGGGACCAGTCCCACAAAGCAAAAACTCAGACAAAACTAGGTTTGCAAGTCTAAGAGAAAATCGCCACTGATTTATAATTTCTTATAATTAACACAGAAAAACCTCAGTTAGAGGAAAGTCACTTAGGTTCTTCCAGGTTTAATTTACTTAACCTAAAATTAAGGAAGAGTAACTATCTTACAAAGTTTTTTTTTGGGGGGGGGCGGTCTTTTTGAGACAGGGTCTTGCTCTGCAGTTCAGGCTGATCTTAAATTCACTATGTAACCCAGGCTGGCCTTAAACTAGCAGCAATCCTCCTGCCTCAGCCTCCTGAGTGCTGGGATTACAGGCATGAGCCACCATGCCCAGCTACAAGGCTATTCTGCATTATTAAATACAGCCCCCAATTTCCCAATTTGACTTACTGATGGTTCAATCTACTACTTTTTAACTTTACAATAGTGTTACAATGATATGCACTCAGTAGAAACCATACCCCAAATCCAAACTCTCTTTTTTTTTGTGGTAACAGGGACTGAACCCAGGGCCCCACACTGACTACTACTCAAGAGTTCTACTGCTGAGCCACAGTCCAGTCCTAACAATATTTTCTTGAAATTTTGGGTGGCAGCAGCGAGCCTCTGCTCCTACTCAGCCACAGATCTATAAACAACCGAGGCTCTACAGCATGCCGCTGTTATGTCTGGTAGGTTGGGTGTATCAAGTCCACTTCTGACTACTGATGAGTTCACCTCCTACTCAGGATGCTAAGGCAGAGCATAACAAGTCAAGCCCCGCTTGGGCTACTCAACAAGACGCTGTATCAAAGTAAAAAGGGCTGGGAGGTAGTGCGGTAGGAGGGCCTATGTTCAATCCCCAGTGCCGAGAGAGGAGAGCACAGAGAGGGAAAGAAACAAATCGAGGGAGGGAAGGACACAGGAGTTCAACATAACTCTTTTCCTGCTCTATCAGCAGCGGTCACTCCATCCGATGAAGGCCTCTGTGAGAGGGTATATACAGTATAGATCCTTAATTCCTTATCTGAAATCTGCAAGTCCTCAGCATTCTGTCTCCTACTCAAATAATCTGATGATAACAAAACCTGACCTGAAGTGTTAAAGCTATGAGGTCTTTGTTGCCTGCTGAGTGTGAATATTCACAGGTGCTGAGGTAGAAGTAGTCGGATTACAGGACACTCTCCATATTCTACCAGATAGACTGTACAGATATTCCATCCTAAAACCTGAAAAACTCTGAATTCCAAAACACAATTAGCAGTGGTGGGGGAGCGGGGGGCGGATAAAATAAGGAGCTATGGCTAAGAGCACAAGCTGTAAAGCTTGGCTCTGTGGGGTCAGATCCCAGCCCTGCCCCTTAATGAGCTGTGAACCTCGAGCCAGTTATCAGCTCTCTCTGCCTCAGCTTTCTTGTCTGTTAAATGGAACAACAGTAGTACCTGCTTCACAGAGTGGGAGTCACCCCAAGTCCCAGGAAAGTAAGATATAGAAACCCAAAATGATAGCTAACATGACAAGACTGTTGGGTTTGCTCTGTCATGTGTACTGTTTACTGTACCATTTAAAAAAATAAATTAGTATTTTATGAGAAAAAGGAAACCAGTATTTGACAGTTCTAGGTTTAAAGAAATTAAAAATGTAGAATAAGAATATGCATCTCATAAGCAGGGAAACATTCACAACATTCTAAAAGTGTGGGTATGTGGGTCAAAGATAGTAACATACATAGTCAAACTAAAGGAAAACACTACACAGTCACCGTTAGCCACTTGTTGCCAGGGGCTACTAAACCTTCGAGGACAGATACACAGCCTTTTTATCATTAAAGAAAGTTCTATTGGACAGCACTACTTTAGACAAAGGATTTGTTTTTTTTTTTGGTCTTTTTGAGACAGGGTCTCGCTATGCAGTTCAGGCTGGCCTTGAGCTCACTTTATAGCCCAGGCTGGTCTCGAACTCACAATGATCCTCCTGTCTCAGCCTCCCAAGTGCTGGGATTACAGGCGTGCGCCACCACGCCAGGCTAGACAAAGGATTTTAACTCTATAAATATAGAGTTTGGATGGCATATGGAAGGTAGAAGATAGTGCAGGTTTTTTTGTTTTGTTTGTTTCTGTACCAGGAATTGAACTCAGGACCTTAGACTTGCCAGGCAGGCACCTGTGCCACTGAGCTATATCCCCAGTGGCATATGGAAGGTAGACAGGCGACTTTATTGACTTTAAGAGAAATTATGATTACCGTTATCATCATTATTACTACTGCTGCCTCTTTAGTGATAACTAATGTTTATTAACCATTTACTACATGATAGGCTGGTTTAAAGCCGGGCATGGTGGCACATGCCTGTAATCCCAGTACTCAGGAGGCTGAGGCAGGAGGATCGTGAGTTTGAGGCCAGCCTAGGTTACAAAGTGAGCTCAAGGCCAGCCTGAACTGCATAATGAGACCATCTCAAAAAAAAAAAAAGGCTGGTTTACACAATAAAATAGGCAGTACTAACATATTTTTGTAAGCATCAGCACAAACATTCATGTATACTAACGACAGTCATGCAGGAATAACAGAGAGGAGCAAATAAACTGTACTCATAAAGAATAAGTCAAAGCTGGGCATGGTGGTACATTTCTATAATCCCACCTCTCTGGGAGAGCAAGGCAGGAAGATAGCAAGTTTAAGCCCAGCAGAGACAATTTAGCCAGACTTGGTCCCAAAAAATAAAAAAGGGCTGGTGATGTAGACCAACGTGAGTGCAATTTCCAGTACTGGGGGAAAGAAAAAGTAAAAATGAGTATCACTATACCTCACTAATCATGTACACAGAGCTACAGAGCTTTATAACTACTATGCGATGGTTAATCTTATCTATATCTATGTTTTTTTTAGTACTGGGAATCGAAGTCAGGACCTTGCGCCTGCCAGACAGGAACTTGTGCTGCTGAGCTATATGCCTGGCCCTATCTTTTTTTTAAAGACAGGGTCTCACTGTGTAGCCCAGGCTGGGCTTGAATTCGTGGAGATCACAGTCCACTGAGGCTGTGAAACTGTAAGCCAAAATAAACCCTCCCCTCCTTCAAACTATCTACCAGGGGTTGTGTCCCAGCAATGGAAAAACAGAAAGCTGACCGACAGACTACAATCATCTGAAAATACATGACAGACTACCTATAATCTCTTTCTTCCTCTCTTGCATTCAGGATTAAACCCAAGGCCTTGCACTGAGTTCAATCTCCAGCCCCTTTTATTTTAAGACAGGGTCTGGCTAAATTGTACAGCCTGGCCTCAAATTTGCAATCATCCTGCCTCAGGCTCCCAATAACTGGAATAGGAGAAGTGCACCACCATACCTGCCTTCCACATTTTCACAGACATGCACAATGCTTACACACATCAACATTATGTGTTGACCGCTATGCCAACAGTGTAATTCTCAGTTTGAACATGACAGCCTGCAGCCCTGAGAATTCACTGGTCTTGTCCTGGAGCTCGAAGGCTAGCAAGCCTGGGCTTCTGCTGTCTGAAGCAGCCTAAGGAAATGCTAGCTCTTGAGAGAGACCTCTCTCCTACATCTGTCCTCTGCTGACCAGCTGAGCGGGCAGTGCCTGTCCATGCAGAGAAGGATCCTCCCCACCTAGTCCACTCAGGCCTCGGGCTAATCTCTGCAAACATCCTCACAGCTGCACAGGGAACACTGCTTTCCCAGGTTTCTAGGGATGTGCCGTGCCTGACCAATGCAACTATCCTGCACACAACTGAAAATGCACAGCCACAGCTCCAGAATTCAGTCTTCAATTCCTCTTATACTGCCCTTTTCCACTGGGAATTGATGTTTTCCAGATTTTAAAATTCAGAATTTTAATCTTTGGGGACTTTAAACTTTATAGATTTGATCATTCATGATTTCCAAATTTGAGATTCTGTCATTTGGCATTGAAGTACATACTTCATTACCAAGAAAACTTATAAAATGAAGGTTTTATATTCATTTGAATACTTCTTGGCCTTGCCTTCAGAAGGCCACTGGGCCTCCACGCCCAGTCTAGGTATAGCAACTGCACAAAGGTACAGGAAGGAAAAGGTGCTGCTCCCTCCCATCATGGTTTTTGTCATGTGTCACAGGACCATGTGTACTCATGTGGCATATGGTCAGACACGCCCTGTAAGTCTGTCTCCCCAGAGCCAATGTTACCCCCTAGGCATCATTCCCCGTACACTAAAGGCCTCCTAACTGCTCAGCAGATATGATCAGTGGAGCCAATTTCAAAACAAGGCACAAGCCCCAAAGGCAGCTATGGGGAACTTCATCATCAGATAGGTGCGCCGTACAACACAATGCTCCCTGAAACTGCTAACTGGTTCAGATGTTTCCCCAGGTTCCTATGTGATTAGAAGAAAATTTTACATGCAAAGACTGTGGTAGAACTACAAGGCATTCTTGTTTACTTTTGCAAAGAAGCTGGCAAAATAGTGAAGCCATGCCAAATTCTGGTTTGATTTCAATGCTACTTTCCCACAATTATAGTTTCAATTTAAACAGAACCCAAGACTAAAAGAGCAGTTCAACTGCTTGATAAGATAAAACAAGCCTTTGTTTTAACTGAGGTTGCACATATATAATACAAACACACACACACACACACACACACACACACACATTTTGAGACAGGGTTTCACCATGCAATTCAGGTTGGCTGGCCTCAAACCCACAGAAATCCTCCTGCTTCAGCCTTCCATGTGCTAGGTTTACAGTAGTGCACCACCACACCCAGCATGCTTGCCTATATTTTATGCACGACTACAAAGGTATTTTTTATCTCTATACTATGATTGTTATTTATTAGTATTACTAGCTAATTAGATATTATAAATAATACTTAGTACTTGATTGCCTATTATATCTCCACTAC